ACAGGGGAAGGATATGCGTTTCATTTCACAAAAAAGGGACCGAAAATTCAGCCATGATCTACAAATGTACACACTGCTCAGTTTAAATACTATCACCGGGGAAAATGGGTCCCCTTGCATAAAGGCTGCCCCAGCACTGGATCGGTTTATTTTTCCTTTAGGTCTAGGGTACCTTGGAAGAGCAATTATTATTAAACTGATCCCTACGCACGCCCCCTTTCAGTCAGCGCTTATCTCTTCTACATTCCAGTTTGTGGACTGTCCATCAGCCTCCTCATGTGTAATGCAGGACTGTGGGCCCTATGATTTAAAATATTAACAACCACTTTCAAAGCCATCCACAACTCTGCTCCTGGCTATATCTCCAACCTTGTCTCAAAGTATCAACCTAACTGTCCCCTCCGCTCCTCCCAAGACCTCCTGCTTTCCAGCTCCCTCATCAACTCCTCCCATGCTTGCCTCCAGGACTTCCCTAGTCTCTCTCTTATCCTCTGGAACTCTTTACCCCAACCTATCCAACTATCCCCCACTCTGACTGCTTTTAAGCGATCACTAAACACTCATCTCTTCAGGGAAGCCTTTCCCACCTCAACCTAACCGCTGAACTAGCACTTTCTCAAGCAATTCATCCCCACACAGCTACCTCCTCATGTATCACTTGCCCCTCCCTCTTAGATTGTAAGCCCTCATGGGCAGGGCCCTCGTTACCGTCTTGTCCTGAATTGTAATGTCCTCCTTATATTGTAAAGCGCTGCGCAAACTTAGCACTATATAAATCCTGAATAATAATACTAATAATAAATGTACTTGTGAAAATGCACAGTATCAGCACGGATACCAATACTAGTATAGGTACATCCCTACTAAAGAGCACAGATCTCCTTTAAAAGGTCCCTCACACCCCCTTTCCCAGTTTCATAGTCTGCCTTTAACTCTCTTTTCATTCCGATGGGAAGGTCGTCCACTGGTGAGAGAAATAACAGACAGCTTTTCCATAGGAATAAATAAACGTTCTTCAGAGCCTTGCTGGGAAACTTTCTTCAATGTAGAAATTAGGTAAACCTATTCAGAACAGGCTACAATGCACCTCAACACAAAACATGTAGGTCCTGTTGCATTTTTCCCCCCACATAAATGTGTATTGAGATGTCACTGAAAATAATGGGCAGCACAACACACTAAAGTACAGCACACTTTACGTACAATACGTGGAGCACAAGGTGTAAAAACAAAAATGTTCATGCTGTCTTGCTAGAGGTATATTCAAAATATCATAGGATACTTTTACAGGCTGGATGTTGGCAGCTTCCTCTGTTTTGCACAGTGTAGGTGTATAGGGATGCACTGATACTTTGAGTACCAGTGCAGATACTTGGCATTTTCATGAGAACTACCAGGGTTGCAGCTGGGACCCAGCTCTGGCACTCCACCACTGGCCTGAAATCATTAGTCATATTGTTTTTGGAAAAACTGTCACATGACAATAAACAAAAATGTATCAGTACTTGTATCTGAGTACTTGGACAAGTATCAGTACTTGCAAAACTGGTATCAGTGCATCCCTTATATATATAAAAAACAAAATCATACATTAAAACAGAGATGTACAAATCCCAGGAGCTCCGTGTGCTCCTTACAAATGACAGCTGCCTCCTAACTTTTACATTTCTCTCTAGTCTAGCCTTGGAGCTCGAAAAGTATCGGTGCTGTACTGTACTTGGTATCGGTGCATCCCTAACCGATATCGATACTAGTATCTGTACCGATACTGAGTATTTGGGCGAGTACTCGTACCTCACCCAAATGCTCTGATACCTTCTCAGATACCAGAATTACCAGTCAGAAGAAAGGGAACATGGAGCCAGCTTCCAGTGCAATAAGGAAGCTGGGCGGCGAGTAATGACCTGCCTCCCGGTTTCCTGACTGGCCAGGGGCTTCCCAGCCAAATCAGCATGGAGCCGGCTCAGTGCATCCCTAGTAATGTATATTTCAGCATATTTGTATGTGTATGGAATGGACATTATAGATCTTATAAACAAAACAGAAAAGTAGACATGGTAAATTGAGCATTGAATGGTAAATTCAGCCCTAACAGGGCCCAGTACTTATGAAAGGAGTGTAAGGGTTAACTACTGCAGAGCAATAAACATTAGGTGCTGGTTATTGTATTCAAAAATGAAATTAAAGATGAAACTCTGCAGTTTGTGATGGTTGTATTTTCTGAAGATGGTCCCCGCAGAGTTCTAATGAGGTCACATAGATCCCTCCCTGGCCACTGCACTCACTGACTCTGGGTGTCTACAGAAACCTTTAGTCAGCATTGAAGCACGTAGCCGGTGTCGGAGATGATTCAAGACCTATAAAAGTCTCTCTGCTGTCATTTTTGGATTTAAAGTCTAGGTATGTCAATAGGAGAAGATAAAACATTATGTACAGTCACCATATTATTTACAGGGCTGAGACAGTTGTGAAAATAATGACGGTTACAAAATATGTAAGGGTAGAAACTAAATAAAAGACGGCCTCATGTTTACACACAAAATTAGAAGTTGAATGTGAAAGACAAATTATTTTTTTAAAGCGGAACTACAAGCTCCCGTCCCGTACAGCTTAGGAAGGTGCCATCTTGGCCTCTATTTGGATTGCAGTGGCCATGGTGCTGACCATGTGATCAGATATGACACCAGCCATTTGAGGGCTTGAAAGGTCGGTTGAGAGCTGAAATAAGCACACTGGCACCCTTAATAGGTGGCATGCCTTTAAGGAACTCTTACGGGAGACATTACATTGGTGGGTAAAGTTCTTCTTTATTGCCCAAATGAAACTTCAATTTAAAGCAGATAAATTATATTCCATGTGCATCACAACAAAAGGCTTTCAACGTCTTACAGATCATTTTCTAAAGCAGATACAGCCCAAGAAGAAAAAAGCGTTCCCATTTCCACAGCTGCAATGGGACCTCTGGTCTGTGTGTGGAAGCAGTGGTCTCTCTGCAGAGGCCTGATGCCCTCCCTGCCGAGTCAGACCTATAGCTCAGCAATATGCAAAGCTAATGTCCCCTGTTGTTTGGAAAGCTCTAGCTCAGACTCAGCAAGAGGCATGCCGGACCACTGCAGAAAGACCACTGCTTCAACACAAAGAGCAAAAGTCTTTTTCTGCTGCGTTCTGTCAGGCTGTTCTACTCAAACTGCTTCCTAAAGAAATCCAACTGTAAGGCTTGTACCATATTTTGTTTTGATGTACCTGGAATGTATAAAACACAATCTAAAGCTTTGAACTTTCTACTCCTTTAGTAAATCAATCCTGCAAAATATATTTTGATGAAAGCTGTTGCATCCATGACATTGTTCCCCCGATTATCATACTTCCTTTTCCATGCAAGTACCAAAGAAAATGAATTTCAAAAACAGTAAAACAAAAATCAGCTATATGGCATGTATGAAAATATAGTTTTATTAAAAAGTACAATAAAATGTTTTCATTGGCACTTCATAAATGTTGTCCAAATATAAAAAAGACAGTTTTAACATTGATCCTTTGTTCAAATTTCACTAAAAGGCTATTAGGCTTTAAGGAGGAAAGAATATCCCACCTTAGGGCTGGAATAATAATAATCATACTTTCCAGCACAATACATCAGGTACTGTTACAACAAGATGTCAAGATGACTACAAATAAAAAAAAATTAAAAATAACCCGACCTGTAAAAGGAAGAGAAATGATATCTCTCTTCTTTTACAGGCTGAGTTTAGTGTCATTGACTCCCATTATGATGAATTATGACGTCTGTACAGGCCACATATCCCTAAGTGGAAGGGTCACAAGGCAATTGGGGAAAAGAGAAATAGTGTTGGACAATCATTTTACTTCTGAAATCCTGAAATGAGATTACCATTGTGACTGGAAAACGACTTCCATTGATTTAGAATATGTAACAGGAAGGTACTATTGTCCCCTGGAATGCCAATGTGGCATTTGTTCGTCTCAAACAATAAATTACAACCAAGTCATAGATTGTAACATTGCAACAATTAAAAAAATAAACATATTTCCTTATGTTAACCATACTCCATTTATCACATAATAAAGTGCAGGCGGTATAAACAGTATACGATTTGCTTGATTTCATATATTTGTACTCACACAAAAGGCATAATTCACCTTTCTGACCATATTGAATCGTGGGGTGCTTCTCCCTGTAGCGTCCTACTTTTTTTTATTTAGCATGGCTGTGCAAGGCTCTGCCCAAACAGCCATGACATTCATTCACAAATCCATTCACAGGATCTGTGGATGCCAAGTCCCATCTGCCATTGCGGCAAAAACGGACTTGCAGATCTCAATGGAACACAAATGTGGTGAAGTCCATTGATTACCTCTCTCTGCACATAACAGAAGGTTTGGACCTCCGTACAGACCTAGGGCTTGGATGTAAACAAGACAGGACCTTGTGCATTGCACCCATGATGCACTGATCGCCGTTGCAATTAAAAAAAAGTTCAAGTGAGTGCATTCATCAAATTTGTTTGGTGGAGAAATATGGTAAAGACATTTTGCTACCTGAAAGCTATGTACTAAATACATCTATTTATCCAACATGTCCTACAGAAGCCCCTTTATGTGGCTTGTAGACATTCTATAGAGATTAATACATGCGCTGATGGCTTGAGTTACTGGTAAACACCAGCTCTCAGATGAAGAGATTACTCTGATAGTATCCCTACAAGAAGCCAGACTCATCTGACGAGGTCATTATGTTATGAAGGGGTTACTCTGCTCCCATCTTTTTATGTAACTTTGGAGAAGACAAGGCCATGAACTCTGCTAGGGAGGCCCTGCCACTGGAGTCTCTAGAGATGACATCCTATAGCACCCATCAAAAAGTTATTAAAGACTGTTATTCATTTTTTTTTTATGTTAAATGACTACAACAAATGTATTTAAGAGTTTCCACTGAATTCTTGAATTACATGTACTTCATGTTTCATTTAAAGGAGGAATTATATCACTAAGTGTTTTTGTTTCCACAACCCTCTGTTCTCTCCATAAGATCTATACTTTGTACATCAACAGAATGGTTCCAATGCATGCTCAGCATTCTTCCAGTTGTGGAAATTATCTTTGTACCATGCAACTGTTAAGAAGAAGAGGAAAACATATAAAAATGTATTGTCATTATAAGGGCATTTAAATACATTTAGGTCAAAATGAAAGGAAACCTGAAACAAATATGTAAGCTGCCATCTTCTGAAACTAGTTGCCTGGTTGGCACTATACTGACCCAGAAGACAACATGGCCAGACTTTCTGGATACACATGTTTGTTCTGGGTCAGACTCGCACAAATGATTGACCTACCCGGATCAGCATAACAGACTCACATCTCATGTCACAGATACTCAAAATGACTTCTATTGCCTATATCAGTGTGTGAAAATACAATTGTATTTGTTTGTCTTTTTCTTATTATTGAAGCTTCTATGGAACTGAGATGACAATGAATAGCTTTGATTTAGATACAAGCCCTGATCCCCATGGAATGAGCATAGCTTAGCAGGTTTTACATACCAGATCATCGAGCATGGCAAAGAGGAGAGGAAACTGAAAAGGTAAGAACTACCCTTAACCCTCCGCAGAGATTGTTGGAAAGCAGATATTTTTGTTTTACAGGGAAACTGGGGTTGAATAACCTACAATATTGGCTTCTTACAGGTTTATTCACAAAAGGGTGAAGAGTTTGGAGAAGGCAGGAGAAGTGAACAATCTAGGACAACATAGCTGAACCTGAAAGTGAGCAGAATAGGAGAAGTTTTCCAAATCGGCTATTTTGTCCTAGATTGTTCACTTCTCCTGCCTTCTCCAAACTCTTCACCACCTTGTGAATAGCCCTGTAAGTGTTTTCTAAGCGAACAGTTCAGAAACTTCCACTGGGTAGCTGAAGTCTCCAGACCTTCTACAAGCCTTTAAGAACTTGTCTACATCTGAATGATGTTAGAGGCATGTGAGCAGAAAAACTGTAAGAGCACTGTACTTTCTCTGAAATAGCAGAAGGGTTTTAAATGGGTTTGTGTATATAAAAAGCCCTTCATAGGCAAATCTGGTTAAAGCCATGTTATTTAATATAAAAGAGTAAAACTAAAGAACATACCTGTTTGTTCAATGCCTTCTTTCCAATGTACTTTAGGCCTCCACCCTAAACTGTGCATTTTTTCTGACTTCATTGCATATCGAAGGTCATTGATAGGCCTGCAAAATGAGGTATTCTGTTGAGGAACCAAATGATCTGATACTTAAATTAAAAATATTAGCATACAAAGTAGAACAGAAGTAAAAAAAGTCAACATAATGAACAGTTTTTATGAACACGCTACCTGTCATTCACATAATCCATCCAGTACTCTGTTTCGGTGTCTGAAGATGTATGTTGAATCTTGGGAGGCAAAAAAAAACAACAAAAAAACGTTTTTATATATATTACACACACACACCCACAGTGGCCAGTTAATAATGTTCTAGATGTACTATATACATCAGATAAAATAACACATTTTCTTTTAAATGATAATGCGAGCAAGATGAATGTATACTGTAAACCTCTTCTTCCAATTAGATTTCCCCACCATCAATACCAAGGTAATATATCTGCACATAATGTAAAGATCTGCAATATTGCTGGTGTTCTTCTCTTGAAATATTCCTTTGTTTAGTAAGCAGGTCACTAGTAATATACATTGAACATCTAGTAAAAATGTTGTCATGTGGTTTACTCATACTTCACAAGGAGGTCACAATTGAAGTCATGGACCTTTACTGAAGAACATAATACATATACACAGCTAAGAAAAATGCAGCTTTGAGTAATTCAAGGGGAAATAACAGTGTGCGTGCTCTCTTCTAGAAACTCAATTCTATAGGTGGAAAAAATTTTTAATCTAGTATATAAATTGCCAAGAAAACCTTCTACAGTGTATGCATATAATTTACTGACCTCTCTCACACAAAAATAATCATTTGTATAACTTTATTCAGCTTTGGGGAAGAAACTCAACCAACCTGAAACTTTTATTATGCCACTGCAGGTAAAAAGGTAAGATATATTTGTAATTTTCAGATGTCATGATCCTCTTTACAGCTTCCAAAATCATTTTTGCGGATCTTCGTAGCGAACCTAGTAATGATTTAGGCAAATTTGCGAGGTCTTGTGAACATTCTGGGACTGGAATCTCCACAGGGACACAATGCATTCAAAGATTGTCAGTTACCTGCCAGTTACCTGGCTGTGTCTGGCTTCAATACTTCTCAGCGATTGACAAGCACCCAGTAACAATGTAGTAAGTCAGAATTTCAGGTCAATAAATGAAAGTATTGAAATCCGCATAAGGCTCCTTCCATGCTCCGGTCGTGTCTGCCTGTCAGTTTTTAAGATGGTCCGGATCGGATACCCCACGTTAGTCTATAGGCAGCTGAGTCCAAACAGACAGGCGTCTGTTTACACCCGGTTACTCCGGCCAGGTTCAGAAAAACAAACAGAACAGTGTTGCCTTTTGACGGACCTGATCGTGCCGGATCGGGGGTTATTTGATGTAAACAAACACATGTATGTTTACATCCAATTCCCCATAGACCAACATGGAGACCTGGATGTCATATCAACGACATCCGATCCGTACCGCTCTGATCAGGAGGGGATCTGTGCATGGAGCCCCTCCTGATCAGCCCGTGTGAAGGGGCCTAACAGTTATTTTTGCACAAAGAAAGGTTAGCAAGCCTATTCTCTGATGGCAGGATTTCTTCAAAGAGATCCTGTCATCAAATTACAAAATTGCAGGTAAAAGTAGTTTACATGCTTACTTGCAGTCTTTTTTCTTTTCACAATATTTCTTTTTTTTTTATTCACTTGCAACATGCCTTGGAACTTGCTATAGATCTCGACTAGTCAATTCCCTAGCACAGCCCCCTCCCTCCATGCACGTCATAACCCTCTTCTCTTCTGGAAGTGTCTAATCACTGTTGGTGACCAACCTTCTCCACCCTACATAACCGTCTAGCTACTAGCGGAGGAATGAAAAGTGAATACTATAGAGTGTCACTTGAATGACAGCTCTGAATCTGCCGACATCACATCCATAAAAGATAGCGGACCCAGCAGCAGTGTCAGGGCTTTTGGATGTCTGTGTAACGTGTTTTATAAAATAAAAAAAAAAAACAGGTAAATAGCATACATAAAATATGTTCAATGTAAATATGATCTTATAGCAATAATTTTGGTGGAAAGAATTGTCTGTCAACAGGGTCTCTTTTAGTGAAAATAATTACCGTACAAGAGAAAGGAAAGCAGAAGGAATACAGTCACCAGAGTGAAGTTAAAATAATAAAAAGAAATAAAATCTAGAACACCTTACTAAGATTTATAAAAATATATCCAAGATAGCAGAAAACATGAGAACATTGGTATATTTGTGAAAGTTCACTTATCACTGGAGGAAGTATTAAAGAGTAAAAGATACAACCAAAAATAATAACAGCAATGACGTTTTTGACATACCATTTGGATTAATTCTTTAGCAAGCTGGGACACAGATATTTCAAAACTTGAACCAATGTTGTAAATTTCTCCAGCCTTCCCAAGCTTTAAGATTGTCAGCAATGCTTCTACAACATCAGAGGCATATAGGAAACTCCTGGTCTGTCTTCCACTTCCATGGATGCAGCTTCACATTGAAGACAAATACAAAGATTGTTTCTGGAAGCTCTCAAATGGATACATTAATAAAACACTGATCGTATAAAGCTACTTAACCTCCTGTGTGCCATCCACAGTACATAAATGGCCACTATTGTGGGAGGACGTACCTGTATATCCTCCTATGGCCACCTGTGCCCGCTTCTGGCCAAATCGGACCGGCTCTGTGCCTTGTGATCACCATAACTGGTTATCACGTTGATCACATGGCAATGTTTACGTTCCTCCCCTTCCTCTTACAACAAAGGTAGGGGAGGGTATTATTCATTCATTAGTTCCTGATGAAACAAGCTGCTGCAGCAACAACAACAGAGTTTATAGTAATATTTAACCTTTTTAACTCCCTCCCCCCTCCTTTCCTGTATATGTCAGCTCCATTCTGTCTCTGCTCTGACCTATGTATTAACCCCTTTACCTCCCTTATCCGGCACATTAACACCTTCATCTCCATCCTCCCATTGTGTGTAACCTGTACATTAACTCCTCTGCGTATGATCTGTACATTTACTGTATCTAGTGCACCATTACCAAGCTTCATGTTTTAACCCCCTCAATGCCGGCATGTTTCTTAATTTACAAAAAACTTTAAGAGTTCAAGATTATGGTTTCAATTTCAAAAGGTGAACTCAGTTTAAGACAGGAAATATCAAGTGGAATAATATGATCCATATCAAGTTAACAAAACAGTTTTATATATTGACGTTCATTAAGATGTCACAAATCTGTTCATGGACACCTACCATTTTCTGTTACGTTGCAGCAGAGAAATAAACTTGGGTATGACCTAAAAACAAAGAAAAGGAGTGCCACATCAGTACATATTGATGCCATCCTATTTTATAAGCATTTACAGCAAATGTTGTATAATCTATGGAGTAACACAAAGTATTTGTGGCTGCCATCTGCAAGCCATATTTGCAAAAAAAGGCAATACTGGGCATTCCTTCCCCAATTGAGAAATGGGAAAGAACCTTTTAATACAGCCAAGCTGGCAGGAGATTGCTCCCAGCTATGGCAGAGAGAATGGGGAGATCGGCCTATGCACCGATAAGCCATACAAAAAGGGGGCATCCATCACCTAAATTAAAAAGGAGAATTATGGGGAGAATGAAATGCACTCATCCCCATGATTAGTCAACATGCGACACTGAAACTGTCACATGTCAGCTCTATAGATCGAGAACTGAGCGATCAGTTACCACTGATCGCTCAGTTAAAGATCTTCTCCTTGCAGAGAGCAGTGACTGTCAGTCACTACTCCATGCAGGGATTCCCCCCTCTATTCCTCCAGCACTGACTGGAGGAACAGATAGCGAGGGGGCGGGGACACAGCTGGCTCTAGCTCTAGAGAGGTAGAGTTAGCTGCCAATCAGGTGGCGGAATCTTTCCCAGCCGCAGCACAGCACTGCGCTGTCAGCTTATAGTGGACAACAGCCTGCTAAATGCTGAGTTTTGGGTCACAGGTGGACATAGGGCAGCAGGAAGACGTTTACTAACAAGAACTATGGACAACAATTCTCTTAATTCAATTTAGACCCGATTTGCTGATAAACACCCTTTGAATGGGAAGCATTAGACACCCTCCGCCTGGTCAGTGCTTTTTTTTCAATCGAACAATAAGGTGAACTGGATATTCTGGCTGTATGATTAATAAATGTGTGCATGCACATGCAGTCATAGCATGATCAGTTTTACTAATGTTAAAGACTTAGCAGATCTGGTCATTAATATGTGTGGCAGGTTTTAGGACTAGGCCGTCCAATGATAAGGGCAAGTCAGGTGAGGAAGCCCAGTCTCTAGGTATGTGGCTGCTTTATACCTTCTGGTAAGTAATCATTTAAGAAATGAATATTTCCATACAGTCAACCCATATTTATGGTTGAGAAACATTAGAAAATAGAGTATATTTGCAAGGCGCATTAGCTAGTCAAGTACTGGATTTGATGAATGACACAGGAAAAAATGTCAATTTCACATTCGAAATAAATCTGATTAATGAGAAATGCGTCTCTAGAATTCAGAGAATTAAATAGGAGGGTAAACAAAAGTACCATAACCTGTCAATTAAGCATTAGCCTAGTGTACACTTGGGCATGACAGAGTTGTAATTTCACAGGGTTATTTCAGGACCCGTGGAGATAAAAGAAGCAAGAGTGACTGTAGAAACAGCACAGCACAATTAACATCACATAATGGCACTGCTTCATACTGTTTGACTTAAGTAAAGACGTGGTGAGCAGGCAATAAAACTAGAATTACAGAAGAAGAGGAAAACAGATGTTAATCATGTTGTTTGAATTTTAATGCTTCCACAGAGTCATCTAAATTACAGTATAGGAACACCACCAGTGTCTTTACAAGAGCATTAGACACAACTCTAGATTCATTTGAAAACATATTATATGAATATTTTATAGCAACGTATAGAAAAGACTATGCAGAAATTATAAACACAGATGTGCAGGAAGAAAGCCAGCCAAAGCAATGAGCTAACCTGCCAGCTATAATATATGAGGCTCATAACTCACAGCAATGATGAGACAGGTTAGATGTTTTCTTATATAAAAGCCATAAGCAAGTATTCTGCTTCCATCATATCAAATTGTCAACTACAAGGATATGCCTTGGGCAAAAGTATATGTTCTACATTCCTATTTTTGCCTTCTGGATAAAATGTTCGTTTCTTTTATTTACTCTAATATGCGTTGACAATGTTTCACATTTTCAACACTCGTCACATTGCAGAGTGTATAAATTAGTATAGCAAATCACAAACTGCATGAAATAAGTATTTGCTACACAGAGCTGGCCCAGTCTTCCCAGTGTAGATGAGGCAGTACTATACTGTAGAAACACACACACACAATTATGATGTATGGGACATGTGTAGTGGCAGAACATGTGATCCCCGTAGAGTAAGCGAAGGACAAATAACAAAGAACACAGACAAGGCAACACATCTCTGGAAATGATCTCATGACATTTAAATCATGTGCCTGCTACAAATGAGGTCACTGGGCCAAATGTCTACCATACCACATTGCAGAAGAAAACTATCATTTTGTAACCTTCATTAACAGAAATGAGAATTGTCTTTAGATATAGACTTCAGGAACACTTACTTTTTCTGGGTACTGGTGTGGTCCATAGACATTGCTACTTCGGGTGATAACAACTGGAAACTTTGGGGGGGAAAAAAAGAAATTAAATGGCCAGTGAAGATTGAGAATATTGCACAGCAGTCTACATCCAACAAAGTGGAAGTCACATACTGCATAATGTGACATATATGACAATATACAATGTGACAACACACATATATGCAGGAAGCAAAAACAATGAAAAAAAAGACCACAATTCCCAACATCTGAATTAATTACTGTCAAGATAAACTCAATGCATGCTCCTGGCAACCTCATACTACAAAGATGGTAGAGCTTGAATCTTGAATGGCTTCAAAAAGAAGGCAGAAAGTACTCAGGCCTGAGACCTGTCGGCACTAGTGCCAAGCATACACTAGGAACCAGAATTGATCTTTAGGTATATTTAAAGCTGAACTTTAATCCGTCTATAGTTTGCCTTTTCTGGTTTCTCTCTCCTCCCTTCATCAACCAGTTAGTTTTTTTTTTTTTTTTAAATAAAACCTCTCTGTTTTCATTACATAACTTATTTATACCCAGTGGTATCATCACTTGATGACTGGGTGTCAGTTTGGAGGAATGGGCTTCCTGAAGGTGACTGCATTTGCATGCAATTCGCCCCAGGTAACAGCTACATAATGATTAGCCTCCATGACTGAAAGGACTAAGAAAGGGCTCTTTCACACGAACGTCATCAGTTCAGTAAAGGGTCACAGGTACAAAAACTTATGTAGATTGAATCCGTCTACATCAGTTTGCACATCCGTTGTCAGTTCAGTTTACATCCGTTTTTTTACATGTCCATTTTGGGGCTTTTGTTATTATAGTATGGTAAATTTCCATGATTCTTTGCTTTCCCCTAGCACGTATTGAGCTTGCCAGGAGGCTGTATTATGACATCAATCCCACAAAAAAAGACGTAACCCGAACTGATGTAAACTGATCATCAGTTTACATCAGACCCGGTCAGTCAAAACAGAGAGCTGATCCATCTCAAATTGCAGACCTCAATTGACACTGATGTAAACTGATGGTCATCAGTTTATATCTGTACTGCCATAGAGATGCATTGTTGTCCATTTTTCATCTGTAAACGGAGGGTTGGAAACCTGGCAACCTGAACGCTTGTGTGAAAGGGGCCAAAAATGGCAGGCCAGGTACAGTTCAGGCTGGAGGGGAAAAGATTAGATGATGCTGGATGTCCTCCAGCCAGGACTAGATGACTTGCTGCAGCTTCTAATACACGCAGTGAGGATCTCAGAGTACAGTGAAATCAGAGTAAGCACTTTCAGTACAGGAAAGGAGCCTGTACAACAGTACATGACTGGAGGCAAGGCTGGAGTTCAACTTTAAAAACTCATCTGGTCTAAGGAGGACTGACTAGCAGATTTGTTCCATCCTAAATCAGAATCCTATGGACTCACACCATTACCGCTTGTCATAAACTGTTCCCACCCACACAGCTTCACGTTAATTATTCTAGGTTAATTTGCACACATCTGCTTTTAGAAAATATATCATTGTTTAGGAATTTTAAGCAGTTTTCAAGCCAAAAATTAAAATTTGTATAGTCCTCCTGGAGCTTTCATTTAGTATGCACAGACAAAGCGATCCTCTCCAGAGCTGCGCTCCTCCCTCGCCATCACGTTCATCTTCAACCGGGTTCTGATTCTTGGACTGCTTGATTGGTCAGGCCCATGATGACATAACTCCCGTGTGAGCACACTGGAGTTACTCCATCTCTGCATGATCTTGCTTGCACAGCACATAAAAAAAGAAATTACAGGCAGGTAGAGGCTTCTATGGCAGAAGAGTCTTGCACAGTCTCACCTGTCATTGAAAGCCTGCCTTCCACTTTAATTGTACCACAGCGATCCAACTGAACGCCAGGTTTGATCTATTTTTTAAACTTACATTGGGCCCGCTTGGTTACATATTTTTAGCCATGTGCTCACTGCTACATACAGTCAGCATTGTCCTGTTCCAGGTGATGTTGGAGTGACCTGCCGCCTGTACACTGAACACAAGGATTCACTTGCTCTTGTACCTCTGCCATTCAAGAAATGTCTTCAGTTTTTTTTTTTTTTAACGAATACAGGGTGCTCTCTGATTGGTGGAGGCAGAGAGAGTGGCCAAATGACATCACGATCACCACCTCGTCTAATTGGGAGGCAGTGGTGAACTTTCATATGGTCCACTATATGTTTCCACATGTTTTGCACTTTAAATGCACTTTGAGTGTATACCACGTAGAGGCTTTTAGCGCTGTACCTTTTTTGTTCACCGACTATTAAGGCTTTATCACCGGAGTTTAGCAGCTTTTAGCTAGTCCGTTTTTTCCCGGCTATTTTTATTCCATTAGCGCAGATTTTTTTTTCACAAGTGGTCTACTTTTGTCAGCCTGTAACTGGCTGGATTTTTAGGTGAGGAACTTTGCAACAGATTCACAAAAAACTATTTGAGAAACCTGTTGGCATGATGCCACACATACTGAAAATAGATTTAGGGTTTACTTGCACTTTAAGTTCGATGTAATCAATTTCCCCATCAATTCTGCAAGATCCTCATATGTGCTGCTGAACAGACCCGACGCTTCTTGGCACAAGATTGTCTAATGTTTGCAACTGCCCCAACCCGCTCCCTTTAAGAGACACCAATAAGCCTACCATTGACAGAAATGTAAATACTTTTCCTTCATACTGACATAGCTCACCAAGTAAAGAGTCTATACAGCCAGATTACCAGCACCAAGGAATGCTGAGCACAGGACTGACTAGCACCAAGCACCAAGGAATGCTGTGCACAAGAGCTACACCTGAAGGAAAAGCAAAAACCTTGGGCGGGTAGGCTGTACATTGTATAGGCTTTCAAAGTTAACTAGCCTGGGACTTGTACCAAATTCTGAACCTATGGTTGGGTTAAATATTATTGCATATATATTCATCTGGCAGCTATTGATGATACAGGAGCAGCATAAATAATACACATACTGTTTGCAGCAAAGTGCAATCAACATGCATCTTTTTTTTTCTGAAAGTAAAGAAACACTTTTGTTGTGAAACAGACATTGATTAAACCCAACAATTCTCACGAGTAGGAAAAAATACCACCACAGATGCTATTCAAGCACTAAACGGCATCCATGTATTTATGCTTTAACTCTGGGCAGATTACAGACTGCAGCTTCATGGGGTAAACAATTTCACCATGAAAGAAATGAATGACAGCTGGTGTCTCGCGGAGCAGGTGGGATGTTTTGGGCTCCATCCTACATACATCCAGCAGTATAAATAATCATTTCACACTTCACAACATATGGCTGTGTGATGCTTCATTTACAGACATACCCCACTGAATAGAGCTAAGACTCCCTGTGCTAATATAAACTTGGCTCTCTTATCGCCTCCTTACCTTGTATCTTTCCCAGAAAGACAGCACAAAGCTTTCTGCAGCTGCTTTGGACGATGCGTACGGATTTGTTGGCCGTTTTGGTGAAGTTTCATCAAATTCCTAATGAAATATGAATTTTTAAATATGCCAGTGATGTGGAATAATGTTCAGAACGCTGGTCAAAAGACATTGTATAATAGATTCATTTGCATAATTTTGCACTGGGAATAAAGCAATTCACATTTTAAAAACTCCAATGTGACCTCGAGCCATTTACAATGTGCACGTAAAAGGATGAGTCATTAAGCTGAAGAACATATCTGCAACTCCATTGCTCCCTAAAGAAAATTCAAACCGTCTTGGCAAGGTGTCAGCGGTGAACATTTTTATCTCACTTGGGCACTTTCCCATACATTTGCTCAGTAGAAAATGTAAGCAGAAAGTTCTCTTTAACCACTTGTTGGCCGGGGTGTTTACACCCCCTTCCTGTCCAGGCCATTTTTTCAGTGTTCAGCGCTGCAGTACTTTGACTGGACATTTATTCCGTCATGCAATGCTGTACTGAAATTAATTTTATACCATTTTTTGGGGACAGATAGAGCTTTCTTTTGGTGGTATTTAATCACCACTGCGGTTTTTATTTTTTACTTTATAATGAAAAAAGTACCAAAAATTTCGAAAAAAACAAAACAAACTGTTTTCCCTACGTTATGTTATAAAACATGTATTATTACCCAAATTTTTGACAAAATATAAAAGACGGGTTCACATAAGGTAAATAGACACTAAACATGTCAAGCTTTAAAATTGCGTGCGCCCGCGAACTCGCAAAAACTACCATACCCAAAATTGGCCATAGGCGACGCTTTAAAAGCTTTTACCACTCATCAGTTTAGTGTTATCAGTGATTTATGGCTCTAAAATTATTGCTCTCACTGCGACGTTCGCGGTTATATGCAACATGTGCGGCGTAATGGATGCAATCGTCGTTTCCGCACGTAGGCGCACTCGACGCATGTTTGCATGTGTATGTGGGGGGCGGGGGACTTAAAAAATGTTCTATTACCATTATATGTGACTTTTAATTTTTTTTTTTTACCAATTCTTTTACTTAGCTTTATTGCCATCACATAGGGGACCAACAAGTGTCTGGTCCTCTTTATGGAGACATCAGAGGTCTTTAAGACCCCTAATGTCACCTAGGGACCCCCAGAGAAGCTGATGACAGAGGAATGCGGAGGTGATGTAATACACATCACTTCCTGCATTCTGAAGAGGAGATCAAACGGAGCTCCTGTACTGAGCTCTGTTTAGGCGGGACGTTTAAAAACGCCCACCTGCATTCAAGAAGCCGCTGTCCGGCCGTTTAATTACAACGGCCGGACAGCAGGTGGTTAAAGTGGAAGACATTTCAGTTACATGTCCTGCCCTTCTGTGCCCTCCACTAACTGTTCTTGCCTCACTTAGAATTTGTCTAATGTTCTCTGTATAATTAGATCTGCTACTAGAAGTACTGTACATCAAAGCTTTGCTTAAAGGGGCATATTTATAAAGCAGTGAATGTGACTTTCATTAGTTATTTACTGGTAGGGGAATGAATCATCATTTAACCCCTGCACATGGATGATTCACCTGCAGTTAATGATGGGTAAGTTTCAGATTCACTGCTTTATAAACATGCCCCAAAGTGGATCTAAAGCCAAGAACAAAAATGTAATTAAAAGGAGAACTATGGGGAGAGTGAAATGCACTCATCCCCATAGTTAGCTGCAGTGTCTCATGTTGGCTCTATAGATCAAGAAAAGAGTGATTACATAAAGCTGATCGCTCAGCTCATAGTCTTCTCCATGCAGAGAGCGGTAGCGGTCATTCACTGCTCCCCGCAGGGATTCCCCTTTCTGTTGTTCCAGCGCTCATTGAGGAACAGACAGGGGAACGGGCGGGCACAGCTGGCACTGCCTCTAGAGAGCCTCTTCCCCATGCTATACAAAAGACTAAAAACAGTTTTGGCTGGCATTGGGCCAAAATACATGACCAACAATGCTCTATATTTCGGGTTTTTTTCATTCCGCTACCGGGGCTGAACGGAGAAAAAAAAAAATCTAAAAGATTCTTCCCTCCACGCAAAACCGTTACAATTTTAGATTTCCCCCTCACTTTCATTCCGCATGACATTGGTGATCAGGACAATAGAGAGTGGACACAGACAGCAATAAAACCTGACAGGTAACACCTCACTACACTATCCAAAGCTTGAAAACAAAAATGGTTTTGCCTTTAGTTCTATTTTAAACACACACTAGTGCTGCAATCCAAGTTTATTTTATAGCAATGCAGTGTGAACTGATGCTAATGCTACAAAAATGTCAAAAGTGTGTCAGTCATTTACGAACAGAAACTAAAAACAAGCTCAGTCATGAAGGGGTTAAGCACTCGTGGGTACTGAGTGAAAAGGCTCAATAACCTTTTCTTATACCAAGCATGAAGGATTGCTTGGTGCACATTAGGACTCTCTTTTGGCACTCATGTGTACGAGTTCTCTATGTATATCAAAGTGTGCAAGCCATTATAAAAACAGGACTGGTAATTAAAAGAAAATAGAAAAGGACATTTTTACCTCAACAAGACTACCACCATAGACTTCATCCGTACTTATGTAGACAAACTTTCCAACCCCAGCTTCATAAGCCGCACCAAGTAGAATGTGTGTACCATATGTATTAACATAGGCAAATTTAAGGGATTCTGAAAAAGACAAATCTGCAAAGAAAGAGCAAGTCTGTGTTAGTATCTGGTTACGACACCTTATATTCATAAATCCCTATATAATAAATGAAACAAAAATACAATCAGATTCATTGTGGTAATAAGGCAAAAACTGTTGGGACAGCAGTGAACTCATCATATGAGGAAGAAATTATATTTTGGGGGAGCTCTGTACACAAACAGTATACAGAATACAGATTACCAATGCCCCATTTTATCAGTTTTAGAAGACTGCACTAGAAAGGTCATTTTTATTGAAGCAACTCTGTTGCTAGAGCAAAAAAAAAAACATTAAAAATGAAGCCTGAAAAAGTATACAAAATACTTACCTGACTGCGGGACAGGGAGTTCAATCTTAACTCACGGAGCTATGACTGCCGCTACTGTATCAGTGAATATTTTGGATGGCAGTTGGAGCCATAGTGCCCCAACCCACTTATGAAGGGTCAGATATGAGATATATAAATCTCTGTAAGACAACGATTGGAGGTGCCAGACTAGTAGATCACACTGATCCCCTTTTTACAGGCTGCTTCTAGTGTACCTTTGCTCTAGCGACAGGATTGTTTTAACATTAAATGACAAATAGGCCTGTAGCAATTATATGTTAGATTAGTCTTTCAATGAAAGTAAAGCTCCCCTTTAGATTATCCCTGCAGTAGGGAAATATTTAGGATAAGTGAAAATATCAAATTGTTTAGATTGGAAGCAAATTAATCAGAAGAGGTGACATTTTGAAGGAAAAAACCCCCACATTTCAAAACAATTTGCAGATCCAGATGTATAAAGGCAGCTTTGAGCAACTCTAGACTTGAATTTCTGCTGCCCCAGCGCACTTCCAAGCTTTTGGCATTAATGTGATGTGCATGTTGCTACCCAATAAAGGATGTTTAGTTTGCAGCAGGGGCAGAAAAATGTTGAGATTTGGACATCATTTTAGCTCCCTTTGCCTTTGGATCTACTTATTGTTTAAACATACAGTTTCCACTGAGGATATCCCCAGCTTATGCAGTTCTCTTATCATACGCACAAGCTGACTTACCCAGGTTTGTGGCAGGATGAAAAGTTCAAAGTATACTTGTCACCTCTGCATGGCTACTACATTGGAACCAAATAAAATAACACCCATACCCTGAATTCTGGGGCTCTCTCATATGCAAAGTTCAATGTTACCCTTCGGAACTAAGCGCTGGACTACTACTGAAGCACTTTCCCACGAACATGCATACCAGGCAATATGAAGAGTGCTAGAGGAAGAAGGGAATATTACAAGTCAAAGTTTGCATATTGGATTGATTCAGGAATCAAAGTACTAGGGGTGCTGGAGGAAGACTGCTGAAGACATGTTCCCACATTCTACTGATGCAGCCCTTTAAGGAGCTTTTCAGGAGGTGATATGTGTACCTTAAGGGCTTGTTCACACCAAATGCATTGGGGCTCTGCTGGCACCTTTTTTCAGTGCAGTCTCATAGCAAAGACAAGGCAAAATGTCCAGTTCACAATCAGCCCAGTTCAAACCACTGCGCTGGGGGAAAAAAAAGTACAGCATGCAGTGTTTCAGTGCAGAGTGGTACAACACAGTACAACCGCACTACAGCGCACTCTGGCTAATAGAACTGATTGAAATCTTCTTAATGTAAATAGTGCAATGTGCCAGGATTAGTGCATCAGCACTATTCCCCTCACAGCACACCAACGGCCGTACATTCAGTATGTGGTGTGAACAAGCCATTTAATGATTAAAGGATAACACACTCACCTACATGGGTCTGTGCGGCAAAGTGGAAGACCACATCTATGTGTTCTACTTCAAAGAGATGTTTTACAAAATGCACATCGCAGATGTCTCCCTGGGGAATAAAATATCAAAATAAGATTAGAAAAAAAAAAACACACACACACACACACACACACACACACACACACACACACCACTAAAATTCAAAGTAGTTCAATGAAAAACAAAACATGTTAAACCACAGGCCACTACAGAAAAAAGTAAAAACATTGTCAATTATGTAGCTGACAGAAAACTCCACTTGTGGATTTTCACAATGTCAGCTGACATTTTAATGTCGTTTGTCATCATCTGATTGATTCCAACAGTGTACCATGTGAACTAAATTGCATGTACAGTGTGCACAATGTGGCAGGTGCCATACCTGTAAGAACTTGTAGTTCGGATGATCTGAAACCGAATCAAGGTTTTTCAAGCTAGCGCAGTAATCGAGCTGAGAAGAAAGAAAGTGATCCAAAAGCATAAAAGTTTGTATTTAAAAAATATACATTGTTTGCAATGTTAAAACGGATTACTGCATAAGCCCTGGGGAGGATGTGATGCATTTTAATACCGTTCAGAATGAAAGCAAAAAAAAATGTAAGTTTTGGGAAATATTAGGACCAAAAATCACAAGGGTATTCAAATTCCTCCCTGGTAACAGTGCAAGAGTAAACACATTCAGGGCTTTGTGTTTGTCGTCAGTGGTTAGCTTTTAAAGAGATTCTGTAGGCAACCTACACATATGACCTAGTGCCATTCTAAAAGGGCAAAGATCCAGCATTTCCCCATAACTTGTCCTCTACTTCCACTAACTCCATTCTCCTGCACATTCCTGTTGGCCAGTAAGGCGACCCATCATAGTCATGCACAATTAGGGATGTGAGGACTTGGTGACAAGTTCTGCAGAATGGCCACCATTTAGCCATACCGGCAAACATTTTGAAGTTACTCCGTGTATGTTCAGGCAGCTCTAGGTGCCAGTAATTTATATCTGCAGCAGTCTAAACCGATGTAGATGCTCCGGAAGTATTTTAGAAGACTTGTCATCTGCAGATACAGAGTTAGCTCATGCCAGGGATAGTGCATCTTAAAGCAGAACTCCCAGGAATTTTTTTTTATTAACCCGTGCAGCGGTGCTATCCCCACACTGCAAGGGTTAAATGCCCATTTTGGTCTAGAGGAAAATAATAAAAAGATATCCTCACACCGATCCTTGAAGGTGGTGGCTGAGCGCTGTGGGAGGAGAGCGCTGTGAGAGGCCGCCGTCTCTCCTCCCCGCACCACTCAGCCTCCTATTACAGATCGGCAGAGCGATGTGTGGGCGGAGACAGCCAGCGCTGTCACAGTAAGCTGAGCTCCTCTCGCTCAGCCTCCTGTGACAGCTGTCAGGAAGAAGAGCGTTACAAACACTCAGTGATCGCTGAATGTTTGTAAACAATTGAGGACAGAGTATGGTTACTATATCCCCAATTATGAATGAATGGGAAGTGACCTGCATCACTTCCTGTTCATTCATGATTGTAGTTATAGTGAACATACTCTGTCCTCATGTTATGAATGAACAGGAACACTCATAGAAGATTCCTGTTCATTGATAGCAGGGGATGCAGAAAAAGAGATTGACGGTTCTTAAAAAGGGAAATATTTTAAAAAGGGAAATATCAGGGGTCTGTTTAGACCTCTAATATTCCCCGAAGCCCCTAAAAGTAAAGTAAAAAATATTTAATAAAAATGAATAAAAATAAAATATAAAACATTAAAAAGTTTATAAAAAATAAATTAAAATAAATTAAAAACAAAATTGAAAATGTTAAAATAAAAAACATTTTTGGTTTCAGCCTGACTTTTTTTTATTTCGGTTTTGAAATTTTTATTTCGGTGCGCCTCTAAAAATTATACACAGAAACAGGAACCATACCGCACTCCTTACCGGGATTCCCACTTGATGAAGATGGGTGCTCGAAATGACTGCGGATGGCACCGCCACACATGAACAGTAGAAAAATGTCACCAGCACACCATGAGTTGATGAGATACAGCTATTGGCAATAAAATATTTTGCTTTTTCAACTCATGGTGTGCTGGTGACATTTTTCTACTCTAAAAATTATACACACACACACAGATACTAATTTCTATTAATGCCACAATAAATGTAGCATCCTCTTCATCCCCGTTACCAGGTATTTAAAAGCACACCATTTTATAGGGGTTCAATGAGTGGTATAAGCATCAAGTAGGAGAAGCAATCAGGCTGCATCGAGTACAGGACCAATACAGATAGCAGTAACAATCCAATGTACTGAACATCCATTCGCTTATTCCGACTCTCCATGCAGAATAACAGGCCACGTGTACTGTAAGAAGGGGCAGTAATACTGCAGGTTGCTTAATGTTTGTTTTCTTACCCTCACATTGTTATGTATGGGTCTGACAAGATCTCGCAGACAATGACAGATTCACATAGTGTGTAAAACATACAGCTCTTACCTTGTCTAGATTTATTACTAGATATTCCGGATAGTTTTCAACCAAAGAAATGATCATATGCGATGCTCTGCAAAAAAAAAAAAATAATATTCCAACTGTAGTTAAAAACAGTATGGATATATAAAAAATAAGTCAAATAACCATCTTCATTTGTAAATCACCCTAATAACAGAACATATAGATGAATCCCTTCTTATGTTCTGCATACTGTGTAGGTGTTAGACTCGTGTGTAGTTTTAATAGGTTTACAAATATTACTGTAGATGATTAGAACCAGGTTATGGATGGTCAGGCTGCACTCCTGGCTGATAATTGGCAGAAGAAAAGGTAGTAAAAAATGAGAGGTAGGCTGCTTTCTACAGAGGGCTGACAACACTGCAAGACCACTGTTGAAATGGCATTAGCGTTGTCACCATCTCCACGCTGCATCTGTGCTGCAAGGTCCTACATGTCAGGGGGGCATCGCCTCCTGTGACATGTATTTGTAGCAAACGAAATGTATAGACACCGGCACTCCAATAGCAAGCCCAACATGAGCAGCATAACGTGATACTCAATGCAACGTTTCTTGGTCTCGCAGGATCCCCTTCTTCAGGCAGAACGTCATTGCTCTGCCTGATGAAGGGGATCCTGCGAGACCTCCAAACGTCGCATTGAGTGCATCATGTTATGCTGCTCGTACCTCAATAAACAGACGGATTTGACTTGCTATTCGAGTGCCGGTATCTATACATCTCATTTGATATTGACCACGATTTGCAACCATCGACAGCCACAGCACCCACACTCATTATCTTTGGAACAGCGGTTTCGACTGTGATGGCATCATGGACTTTAGCACGTATTTGTAGCAATTCCCTGCCCATTGACTGCACAGTGAAGGGGAGAAGGGGGGACCGATCGGTCCTAAAACTGCAAATAAACATGAGGGGGAAAAAATAAAGAGAATTGGGCAATTTTTCCTAAAAAGGTATGGAGTGCAGTGCTGTTCTTGTAGTGCAGTTTCCAATAACATATTTAACCTTGACAACTATTTTAACTATGTTTCAACTATCCTCGTAACTTGGACCACAAGGCAAAACAATTTGGTTTGCTTTTTAGAAAGAGTGGTGGAGGAGTTAGGGTTAGACCAGTCCCTACAGCCTAACTTCCCTCTGCTTTGGCACTCCAAGGATCTGCGAGTTATCACGTCCTATACAGTGTATGAGACTTGAGGACGCAGAGGGACATTACACCACTGGAGCAGAGGGGGAGAGAGTCTGCAGGGCCCGGTCTAACAGCGAGTCAGGGCCGAGGATTGGGTAAGTATAGCTTATTATGTTATTTTAGACCCCCGACAAAAACAAGCACTTAACCCCTGCAGTGAGAGGATAGCCCCACTGCAAGGGTTACATTTTATACTACCCGGAGGTCTTCTTTAATATCAAATTATGGCTGCTACCTATATAGAACTGTAACCTATAAAAGAGAAGCTAAGTTTCTTTATACAATAATTATAGTCTTCTAAAAGATGAACAAATGTTTTCTTATAACTACGGAAGCAAATTTAGATTTTGTAAGTTAACAAAGTAGCGGCTTTGGTGCATAGCAGACATCATATAAAAGCCTGTACTCCTCTTTTACAGACGGTACTAACACCTTGACTCATCAATGGCAACCCCAAACAAGACATGACAATTTCCACCCATTCCCAACAATCAGTGCTTGGTGAAGCCAATTACCAGAGCTATGTGCTGTCACTGGATTTCTGGCAGGATCATTAGGTGTTTTTCCATACTTGCAGCGATTCAAAAAAAGACAAATCATGTGGAAATGTGTATGTACTGCGACGACGTACTGAATACAGGTATCCGTTGATTTGGGGTTAGGTTCCTGGGGGAATGATTGTAAATAGAAACCCAGCATATAGTGTAAGTCAATGGGAAGCGAGGGAGTAAAGATGTTCCAGACCTGTCTCAAAATTGACACAAGTAAAAAAAAAAAAAAAAATTTAACCACCTCCCGTCCGCAGCCGTTGGTAGACGGCCGGAGGGGAGTCTTGTAGGGGCGGGAGGGCGTCTTGAGACGTCCTGCCCCTCCCCCGGCTCGTGAGCGTATCGCGCTCGCTCACGAGCGCGGTAACTGTGCCCACACTGTCCATAGGACAGTGCTGTATCCATAACCGGTATAGAGCCAGTAAAATCGGCTCTATACCTTGAGATCGTGCTGTGACAAATCACAGCTGTCAAAAGAGTAAACAATGGCTGCGGTTTGCAGCCTTGTCTCTGTCTCCTCTCTCACACACCGTTTGGCTGTGAGAGAGAGGAGATAGAGAGAACTTCAGAACGATCGTCCATAGTAAGAACTTAAAGTGATACACACTACACAGTTACACTCTGCTA